GAATTGGATATAGTGGAAAGAAGGTAGTTGTGATATTGTATTGCCAATGGTTGATTAGTATTAATCCAGAGTTTGTTGATTATTGATAAGCTTTGCTAACAATGGTTTGATTGTTAAGTATAGTAATAAACTATAGTTAGAATATTTTTGAAATGAGCCAGTATTATAGCTATAATAATTTGTTAGTGAGAGATTTAATTGAGAAGAAATAAAATAATTAAAGAGGGAGTTAGTAGTAAGGGTTTTAAACAATTTAAACCATTGTGGTATTTTGCCTTTAGATATATTGTTAAGTCTTGAAGAGATATATTTTCAGTCATGAAAATATAAATTATCAAAAGTAGAAAGTTGGTCAAGAAAAGTATATGATAACAACGAAGTTGTTTTTTAAAAGTAGCATAGTTAGAGTGTGGTGACAAAATAGATTCAAGAGTTCTTTAATAGTATATAATATAGACATATAGAGGTTGGAGCAAATTGTCCAATTTAGATATTTGAGAAGTTGAATAATTTTGAAATTGGTTGTGTGTCTGTTAGGGCTGTCGATAAGAGAGAAAAATATTATATATACTGCTACAAAAAAAGGTTTTGCAAATTAAAAATCAAAGGTTAAACCAAGCCCGACCCTAATCCTTAACATCCCAATTGGATAAAAATCACGAGGGGATATTTTGTGGGAGAGCTACCGACTATCCAAATTACCGTTATAATGTATACAAAATTGAAAAAAAAATCACTTCACAATCGCGAAATAATATGTGGATTACGATATACAAATTTAATCAAAGGTACATCATACTGCAAACCAGATGTGTTTATGATAAGTTACAATAGTCAATTTATCTATTCAATTATTCGGTATTATCACGGCGAATTTATGAAAATTAAGCTAAAGTTCGGTCACCAAATTCGAGCATTTTGCTTCTCAAATTTAAATTATTGTTATAAATTAACATATTAATCGATCAGTATAAACCACGAAAAAATTTTCTAGTTCTCTGATCTTGATTGAAAAATGTGTCTAATCCATCTTCCTCATTTCGACGCATTTTATTAAACATAGTTATTAAAATGACGTATCATAACTTGGTAATATTGATTATATCAGTCAAAATCTTTATTTACAATTTAACAGCCATTTTTCAATTTTGTGTATTTCATTCGCTACAATGATGTTTCAGTTTCAATAAAAATAATAATAATAAATGGCACATTTATTTTTTTAAATTATCAAATTAAATATAGAATATTTATTTATTTATATGAAGAAAAAAAAACAACTTTAAAAACCCATAAAAATATGAATAAATATCAATATCCAAATGTTCCGCCTTAATAAATATCTTATGATAAATGTCTTAAATATTGAGCATATTAAAAAAGGAGATAAAAGGAAAAACTGGATGAAATCTGATTATTTTTAATTTTAATGGAAATTCTTTACATGGAGCGATTTTGTCCATGTATAGATATCACACCCGTTAAAAGATTGTTATAGTTAATACAAGCAATTGATTCAGGTCGAATAATAATAAAAATAGATGATGGAGAAAGCTTTTCCATGTGAGAAAAAACAAATATAGAAGTATCCAAATTTTTATCACAATAATAGACTATATATAATAGTTGAAAAATGTGACATAGGAATTCTAAGGTTCGATAAATAGATTTGTACAGTATATTCGTTCGTTGTAAATCCGTAATTTTCTTATGCGGAACCATCTCATTGAAGATAGTAGTTGTAAGTATATTATAGGAAGATTCAGCTTGATCGATACTTCCATTATTCAATTAGTATCTTTGATCTCAAATGGAAGTATCTCAGACAACGATTCACGGAGAAGAACCGTCTCTTGTAAAATGTCATCTAGGTTGGTATTAGAAAGAAATCCAGAACCAACATTTTTGAACCACTTAAATCTCCATAAACACATTACGAAGGTAAGAATGGTAGCAACGAGTAAAGCAAACCAACCACCATTTGGAAGTTTACGTAAAGTAGCGGATAAGAATGATATATCAACGAAACCAAAAAATAAGAAAAACAAGATGGAAACAAAGATAGGAAATTT